TGTTTATTCATGAATATATATTAAACCTTGTATATTCCCTGAACTCAGTTCCTCTGAAGAAAGCCAGACAACACATATGTTGTTTTGACCAGCTCGTGTGTCTCTCTTCTCTGCAGCAGCATCAAGTTTTTCTGATGATCGTCCTGTTCCCTTCATTTCTTATCTCTCAAGGTTAAATTCATTCATGACCAGACTTCAGCCAACCCCAAATACAAGGGCTTCTTCCACGGAGTCAGAGAGATCGTCAGGGCTCAGGGTAAAGAGCGCATGTAGTTCACCTGACATCTACTGGTCAGACAAGGGTGGTGTAGCCAAAACCACACTGTTCAGTCCATGTGGATGTGGACTGAGATTGAAAGAAGCCTGGTGACTTTATCCTGGTTTATTTTCCTGGACAGGAATAAGAGGAACGTACCAGGGTCTCACTGCCACGGTCCTCAAACAAGGCTCCAACCAGGCTATTCGCTTCTTCGTGATGACCTCTCTCAAAAACTGGTATAAAGGTCAGTGTTTTAACGATTTCTGGATGTCGTCGCCAATTTTCAATATTGCTATATGATTAATATTTATTTTCTAATCCCTAGTGACAAAGAAATGTAACCGAGCCTTGATAAAATTTTTTTTAACCATAAACCATATCCTAAATAACCATAAATAAAAAGAAAACACAAATACAACCAAATATATAGAACTTCAATTAAGGAAATATTAACACAAATGCACATATTGTTTGCATTGTTTATTTATTTATTTTTTTGAAATATATAGTGAATATGGATTATATAAGAATGCAGTGTAATGTGATGATAAAGCGACCGCTTGACTCTCCTGTTCCTTCACCAGGTGACAACCCCAACAAAGCCATCAATCCTCTGGTGACCGGAACCTTTGGAGCCATAGCAGGAGCAGCCAGTGTGTTTGGAAACACGCCTCTAGATGTCATCAAGACTCGGATGCAGGTACGTAAAATGAAAACTGTTCATAAAAGCACAGTTTCTTCCTCGTGTGTTCTGCTGGTGTCCTCGTTTGAACTCAACATCTGACAGCGTCTCTCGTTTTCTCTCTGAAGGGTCTTGAAGCACATAAATATAAAAGCACGTTGGACTGCGCCATGAAGATCCTGAGACACGAGGGCTTGGCAGCGTGAGTACGCCTCCACTTTGTTTGGTTTAGTGTCACAGCAGGTTTCTCCCTTTAATCCTTTAAACACAACAAGCCTTCGTTGCTTTCTCAGCTTACAAGTTCTGCTGTGAACCCTGCATGTGAAGCATCTAGTGGCCTTAATTCATCCCGTCTATCGGACATCTGTACTGACCTTAAAATAAAAACACTGAATGTCCATTAGATCCAATCATTTTATCCTCTGAAACCTCATGGTCCATCCTAGATGGTCAACCAGAATTTTATTGTCCTGAAAACTGAGAATAAAATCAACAAATAAACACTGATATCTTACGTTCGCCACTCTGTCTCTGTCCGTCTGTAGTTTTTATAAAGGCACAGTTCCTCGTCTGGGCCGCGTGTGTCTGGACGTGGCCATCGTTTTCATCATCTATGAGGAAGTGGTGAAGGTCCTGAATACGGTGTGGAAGACGGACTGAGCCGCTGGACGCACTTAAAGGCCTCCTGGGCACGAGACACAGATCTGAGTTCAGCAGACGTCCTCTGAGGGGTTGAGACAGGGAGGTGAACTTAGATCAGTGTCTTGTGCCGACCGGGAGGCTGAAGAGAAGAAAGAACGCCTGACAGAGACTCAGCGTCGCTAACATCTGGACAGCTGCAGAACACCTGATAAAACCAAGGGTCAACTTTACAAAGTGGGATTATAAGATCAGCCAGATAACTTTGAAAAAGATGCTTCACATGATTCCTTGACGACTTCTTTTAAAGAACAAGTTTGCAGATATTTCATCACATTTTTCAAGTTATCTGGTTCACTGTCTTTGTAAACCTGCTTTGTAAAATATTCCCTCTGTGAAGAATATTATTTTTCACCTTTCACAGCTGGTTTACTGATGTTTCCTGTGAGTATACAGGTGTCATACTGGATTGTCTTGAGTTATTGTTGCTCTCTGTCTCCTCAAAATGTTTATTTAAACTCAAAGGAGCCAGACTGCAGCTCACATAAACTGTGGTAACTTCCATAAT